GTTTCCATTACCACCGGTTCTTGGATCTTTTCTAGTTTCTCATCTCTTCCTTGATCAATCGATTCTTCTTTTTCTATCTCTTGAATCTTTTTCATGTTACTATCTTCAAGTTCATCGACCGATTTTTTAACCCTTTCTTGTTCCTCAAGCCTCCTCTGTTCACTTGTTTCTTGTTCTTTCATCTCCTGCATCTTGCTTGGTTCATTGTCTTCTTCTTCTTCTTGCTTAATCATGTTCTCTTCCCCAAATTCTTGAATATCATCTCGATTTTCGTGTTTTTCCACTTCATTCGATTCCCTTTCTTCAATCTCCTTCAGTTTTCTTGAGCCATTTGCATCTGCAGTTTCTTTATCTCCCTTCCCGCTCTCTTCAATATCTTGTTCCTCGTTTCTCTTATGTTCATCGGATTCTTGTTTTTCATCTTCTTTAACATTTCTTGAGCTATCATCTGTATCTTTCGTCTCTTGATCTATCTTTCCCTTTGCTTGACTGGCTAAATCCTTCTTGACCAAGGCTTGCTTCTTCTCTTGTTCTTTGTGTGTAACCGCTAATTCTTTTTCTTCAATCTCTTTAACCTTTCTACAGCCATCATCTCTCGTTCTTGTCTCTTCTTCTCCCCATCCTGCTCTGTTTCCCTCTTTGCCTTCTCTACGATTGCTTGTTTCCTCGAGTTTTTCTAGTTTATCTGACTTCTCTTCTTCGTTATCTCGAATCTTGCGTGAGCGATCATATTCAGCTTCTGTCTTCTCTTCTTTGCTTTGATCATTTGTTTCTGTTTCTACCATTTCTTGATGTTGTACTCTTTTCTTTTGCACTCTCAATCTGGTTGATTCTTGTTCTTTAATCTCACTCTTTCTTGAACTATCATCATTAGCTTTTGGCTCCACCAGCGGAATTCTCTCTGTCTTCTCCTTTTGCTCTCCTTTTGCTATTCCTTCCTTTTGAATTTTTTCATGCTCTTGATCTGATCTTTTTTCTCCAACATCTTGATACTCCCTTGAATCTTCCCTAGATATTGTCTTATATCCGTGTTCCTGTATCTTTTGTTCCTCTGATTCTTGGATATTGTGCTTTTTTGGGATCTTACTTGGTTTCTGATGTTTCTCTAGTTCATCTTCAATTTGATGACTCTTTCTGGGGCTAACATTCTTAGCTGTTCTCTTTGTCTCTTTGGTTTCCCTCTCCTCCATTCCCTTTTCTTCTTCTCTATGATATTTTGTTCTTTCGACAACCGGTTCTGGAATCTTGTCATCCTCATGCTCTCCTTTTTTAAGAAGCTCATATGGTTCTTGTCTTTTATTCTCTTGGTCCTTCATTCTGCTGTCAGTCTTATCTTGAATCTTCTCTTCTGCAATATCCTCCTTTTCTTCATCAAGAACCTTATTTTTCTCTTCCATCGGTTTCCGGACCTTCTTTTGTTCTTCGTTTTCTTCTGATTCATCCAATTCCAGCATTTTAGACGTTTCAAACTTTCGTGAGTTGCCATTGTCGATTTTTGTCTCCGCCTTTGCTTTTTCTTCACCTTCACGTTTTTCCATTTCCTTCAGTTCTTGGAACTCTTCTTGTTCCACTGGTCGTCTATTTGATACATTTGATGACTCCTTTTCCAAAAATTCTTGACCTTTTGTAAGCTTATCGTCTTCAGTCACAAGCTTCACCTCATGATTACTCGTTTCTTTCTTCTCCAGTTCTTCAGTCTTGTCTTCCGGTTCTTGATTTTTCTTGTCATCTGATTCTTGCACTTTAGTCGCTTGAATGTTTCTCACAATACCGTCGTCATGTTTTGCCTTGAACCTTTCACGTGACATGGTCTCAACAGTCTTCCCTTGTTTGCGTTCTTCTTCATCGTCATCTTTGCAATTCTCTGTTTTTCCTTCAAGATCTTGGAAATGTGTTTCTTGCTCTTTTGTATCTTTCTTTGAAACTATTTCCTCATCTTCTTCTTTTGTTTGGGGCA